ATCTCTTTGAACATCATTTTGAATATCTAAAACATGTTGTTGTACACGTACAATTTGTTCTTGAACATTAACAAATTTGCTTGTTGATGTATGTTCCATATCAGTTAATAATTGTTCAGTTCCAGATAACATTGTACTAAAAAATATTTTTATATTTTTTTTTTTAATGAAAAAAATATATATATATTATTTTACATAAAATTTTCAACAAGATCATTTAGTTGTGGTGGCAATAATTGATCCATTGGTTCAGATGATTCTTTTGGTTTTTGAATAATACTTGTAGAACCTTTAAATAAAAAAAAAAGAAATATATGTTGGTTTTTTTTTTATGTCGATTAAGTCTAACCAAGTGTTGTTGTTGTTAATGAACTAGTTCCGCTTGTAGTTGATGCACTAGTTGTTGTAACTGTTGATGAAGGACCAAAAACACCACCAAGACCAGTACTAGTTGTTCCTGTTGTTGCCGTTGTTGCTGGAGTTATTGTTGGTATAGTTGACTAAATAAAAGACAATAGATCATTTTTGAAAATTGAAGAAAAAAATCTCTTACTAATGTTGCTGTAGTAGTTGTTGTTGCGCTACTTATTATAGGTGCTACAAATCCACCGGTGGTTGTTGTTGTTGATGCAACAGGAAATGTTGAAGTACTTGATGTACTTGTAGATATCGGAAATGTTGTTGTAGTTATTGGTTGAGCAAGAAGACTCGAAATAGCATTATTTGATGATGAAGTCGATGTTGTTGTTGTTGGTACAGGAGGAAAACCAGCTGAAGTAGGTACTGGCATTGCTCCTACTGAAGTGGTAAATGACAAAGGAGCACTTGATGTAGTACTGGTTGTTGTTGTTGTTGTTGTTATAGGTGTTATAAATGAAATAGTAGGAGTCGCTGTAGTAGAAGCAGCAGTAGCAGTTGTACTTGTAGTAGGTATTACTGATGGAAATAATGAAGTTGCCTAGAAGTATAATAGTATTTAAATAACTATTGAAAAAAAGCTAATCTTATTTCTTTGCTGTGATAGAGTTCAAAATGGAAAAATCATCTGTTAAGAATGAATAAAACTAACCGAAGGAGCAACTGTAGACATTGCCGTTGTAGTAGCAGACGGAGTAGAGAATGGAAATGATGGTATTCCTGTCGAACTTGATGATGTTGTTGATGGTGTAGCAAATGGAAAAGATGTTGAAGGTGGAGCAGACGTTGTTGTACCAGCAGGTGTTGTTGAGAAAGGGAATGTTGATGGAGCAGCAGTAGCAGTAGTACTACTACTCGAAGGATTAGCAAACGAAAAAAGAGAAGCCGATGGAGTAGCGGTTGTTGTCGATGTTGTGACTGTTGGAGCACCAGTAAACGAAAAAAAAGATGACGTCTAAAAATAGAGAAATATATAGAATAGCGAAGCATTCTTATTTTTTATTGATTGTAGAAAATTTAAAAAAAAACAAAAGATTACCGGTGCATTTGTAGTTGTTGGTATAGCTGACGGAAAAGCTGTTGTTGATGGATTACTTGAAGTAAAAAGAGATGACGATGAAAAACCTGTTGAAGGTACAGCTGCTGTTGTTGTTCCAAAGGATGTTGGTACGGTGGTACTAGTACCACCAAATGGTGTTGTCGTCGTCGATGAATTTGCACCAAATGTAAATGAAGAAGTTGTTGTAGTTGGAGCCGCAGCAGCAACAGTAGCAGCAGGTGTTGAACCAAATGTGAATGTTGAAGGTTGAGTTGCAGTAGTTGTAGTTGTACCTCCGAAAGGGAATGTTGATGGTTGTGTCGTAGGTGCTGTACTTGACGATCCAAATGTAAATGAAGACGGTTGTGTTGTACTCGTTGGTCCAAATGTAAATGAAGATGGTTGTGTAGTAGGTGCTGTAGCTGTTGGTCCAAATGTAAATGTAGATGGCTGAGCTGTTGATGTTGCAGGAGTTGATCCAAATGTAAATGAAGATGCTTGAGTAGTCGAAGGAGCTACAGCTGCTGAACCAAATGAGAACATACTTGGTGTAGTACCAGTAGCAGCTGTTGTTGTTGTTGGAGCTGCACCAAATCCGAATGTTCCAGTAGTACCACCACCACCACCACCACCACCAAATGGTGCACTTGTCGTACTGTTGGAACCAAATGAAAATGGATTTGCAGAGGCTGTTGTTGTTGTTGTTGGAGCAGTCGTAGTCGAACTACCACCAAATGCAAATGGACTAGCACTTGCCGTAGTCGTATTTGTTGATGCACCAAATGAAAACATTTTTCTAAAAATATTCAATTTAATTTTAATAAAAGAAAAGAAAAGATTGACAATGAAATATTATTTCAATGCAAATTATTTCTTTTCGTCTCTAATCATAACTGAAATAAATGAATGAGTCATTGAATAGATTATCTATTAACTAAGAACTACCAGTCAAAATGTTTGTATAATTCTCTACAATTCATTTAAGTTAAAAAAAACTTTTCTCCGATTTATATGATATTTTCTGAAGAAAATTCAAACAATACTTTAAGAACAAAAAAATTCTAAAACTCATTATTAATATTCATACAATAGATGTCATTATCACCTGTTATGGATGTATTAATCCGAAATTCGTATTTTTAGTTTAAATAAAAAAAGTATTTATCTAAATAAATGAAGACTTCATGTAATCTTCATCGATGAGACGTTGCAACTAGATATGTATTAATATCTATTTTTACATATTGCACTCGGTATGCATAATGAAGTTGGTAAGTATCATTCGAATGTATTTTGCATCTGTTTTATGATGTAAAATACGTCTATGTTATACAATCATTTTTTCTTTTTATTCTTTCTTATTCTCTTGCCTAATAAAAGTTTTTTTTATTTTGTAATAAAAATCCATAAATAAATGAAATTGCTCGTTTTTAAATCTTAGCCGAAATTCTACTATGATTTTCATAGTCAAATGTTGTTATTAGTACATCCATAAATAATATTCAAGTAAAGGGAACGCGGAGTCCGGCCAAATTTGGATAGAGGGAAGGGGAATCAAACATTTCTGAACGTTCAGACACTTACTAGGAATAGTTTCCCTTTGTTTTTTCTACAACTTTCAGCAAAATTTTCATGGCTAGTTTGTTTTAAAGAACGTCTTTAAATAGGGAATCAACTGAATCAATCAGTTGAATATGTGAATACGGTGTTGAAATAATTGAAGATTATGCTTCATGAGCAGATTGTTATTTTGTAGAGCAGTTTTCGAGTGTCATTGATATTGAACTTCATTTCTTTTTCTGCTCATTAAAATTGAATGTATTTAAACAATAAAAACTTTGCAATAGGTTAGATTTTTTTAATGAAATGTGTTTATTTATTTCTATTTTTGATAGAGATTTATTTAATAAAAAAGAAGCAGCATATTTGAATAAGAAGGCTTTTTCTCAAAGTTTCCTTTCTGTACTGGACGATACAGTCTGTCGATTTGATTCTGGACACGATCGGATCCAGTTTTGAACTTTTTCTGTTCAGCGGATTCGAAAACTTTGGACCCGACGACCTCTACTGGACGCCCTTTATAGATGATTTCTGATGGAAACATTAATGTTCCGGAAATTTTTGGAAAATTATAGAAACATACGAAAAATAGATTCTTAGAATGAATATGTTCGACAGAAAATTTTGGAAAAAAGAGTAGAAATTACTTAAACATAAAATAAATTTAAAACAACTTTTATATTTCGTACTAAAAGGACAGATGCAATAACAAAAACACTTTAGATAAATGTTACACGCCTTTAAAAAGAAAATCTACGGACTCATCCATTAAAAATTCTTGTTTTTTACCTCTTAGTACAAAATATAAAAGTTGTTTAAATTAGAAAATTCATTTTTTTTAATCTTTCATTAATCAAGACAAATAAGATTTCGTGTATTTCCAATATTAAAACATTAAAATCATACAATTTTTTGTTTGATTTAAACAAATGCATTTTTGATAGAAAATCATGTTTAACTTGTCTAGATAATTTAGTCATTTGATTGTTCCATTTTTTTTTATATTCATCAAAAAATTCCATTATATTATCTATTGAATATTATTCTTAGTAGAATTCTTCGATTTAAAATTTATTTTCTAGAATATTTATCGGGAACAAAATAAATATTTTTTAAAAACAGATATAGTTGATCTTTTCGATCAACATAGATTATTGATTTCATATGTTATATTACTATTGAAAGTGTAGATAATCGATTAATTTCATTAGTAAAAAAAAAGATTTAATTAATATATTTGTTAAAATAAAGTAACATATAAATATTAAGTAAAACATCAACTATTATTCTTATCGAGTATGCCAAATACTAGTAGTTGAGATTATTATTTTCGTTTTCTTCATATGTTTTTTTTTTCTTGTGTCTTAATCATCTTTTAAACAGGAAAGAACGACAATGTATATTATTCGAAGTTTTTTTTTATTATTTTTTTCTATGAATGTTTGTGTGCTTATGTCTGTATAAACCAGTAACGCTTATGGCAAAAAAACCAAGTTAAGACAAACAAAATAAAACTGACTACGAAGGTCATATTTGATGTTTCATTTATTAACAATAACTTCAAGTGGAATTCGATTTTGTTTTAAATAAAGTGACACATTCGTTGGTTACAAATATTTTAGTTTTTCAAATATTCCTACGTATTAACATAGAATAAACAAAAGAAAAAACAATTTCAGGTGATGTTTGTTTTTTTCGTAAGGACAGACCAGTTGGATTACACATAAATTGAAAATAGATAAGAGTCTATGAACCTTTTTTTCGATAGAACCTTTTATAGATGAGAAAAAAAAAATAATAATAATAATAGAAACTTTAAAATTGAATTTCTATTTTAATAGAATAGATTATAATGATCAAAACAATGTTTCAGATATGGTTTCATCATTTATTTTATTATTTGAAATAATTTGAATATAAAACAAGTATGAAAGAATAATTATCATCGTCTGATTTGACGAGTAAAGTTATAGAAGAATTCCATATGGTTTCATCAACAGAAATGGTTTGTTTATTTAAATTTTTATTTAAATATTAGACCTAATTATTTATAGATTAATATAATCGAAGGTGAATATGAAATGGAATCTATTGAAATGCTTGAATGTCGTGTATGTGGTGGTCCAGCTCATGGATATAATTTTGATCAAATTTCATGTGACTCTTGTAAAGCATTTTTTCGACGTAATGCTCTTCGATATAGGGTAAGCAGTCTTAAAACAAAAATAAATAATTGATCTCATTCAGAACTTTTCAATTAAGTGAAGTTGACTATGAAAGTTAAGTTAAATTTTTTATTTCTTTTAAAAATAAAGGAAATAATAAAATTGATTAATTTAATTTATTTTAAAATAATTCTATGAATAATAAATCAAATTGAATATATATTGATGTTAATGTAAAAAAAAAAAATGTTGAATAAAAATAAAAAATTTCAAGAATGAAAATAATTGTTTTTGTTTTTTGTTTAAAACAAAAATAGAAAAAATCAATTAAATATATTTGTTTTTTATTCATTTATCAAGTTTTCAACACGATTCATTTTTACTCATATGCATGATTTATTGTCCGTTGAGTACATTTAAAATATGTCCTACATCAATATTATTCTTATGTGAGAATATACTCTTTCTGTTGATTAGATGAAAGAGGAGAAATAAACAATGTGTAATTAGAACATGAGAGTTAACGTTGATGTGAAAAACACTCACATCTATATCACATCAATCCTCTCATCTTCTAAATAATCAACAGACTGTAAATCTTCCGCACCGAAAATTATATCTTTTGCTACAAAAAAAAAACAATTAAAATTGAAAAATAATCATCGGATTGTATATAGTGTAAACCCAATTGTTTTTGTTGGACAATTAACTTTAATTTTTTTTTTTTTTTGTTCAATTTTGTTTAAAATATATATGATGTTTTAGCCAAAATTGAAATGTCGTTATAATAGTTCATGTGAAATAACAGTTGAAACTCGTCGTCTTTGTACTTATTGTCGATTAAAAAAATGTTTTGATATTAAAATGAGAAAAGAATGGATACGAACTGAAGAAGAATGTCGAGTAAGAAAATTACAACGGCTTTCTACAAAACAAAACAAAATGAATAAATCTTCGAATATTTCAACTATTGAAAAAATAGACAATCAATCAAATTTATTATCAAATCAATTCATTCAATATAAACAACCGGTATATATTATCATTAAGGTTTTAATTTATTAAGAATATCAGAAATATAAATTTATTCATTAGAGAATAAAAAATAATATTTCTTATGACATATTCATAATCTATTGAGAATTTCATAAGTTGATTTTCTATATACACGATAGTATTAATTAAATAATTACTTTTTTTTTTTTTTTTTTTCATAGATATTTACAATGAATAAAAATTTTTATTCTTCAAACTTAACATTTGATGATTGGTCATTAATTAATAATATAAAACATGCATATGATACATCAATTTTTGATTATGATACAATTCTTATTAATAATTCTTCATTAATCGATTCAACATTAAAAGATTTTATCAATGATAAACAACAAATATTTCGAAGTTTAATACAATTTTATAAAAAAATTCCACATTTTAAACAAATAAATCTTGAAGATCAAATTCTATTAATAAAATGTAATATATCACATTTAATTCATATTCATTATATATTAAAAGATAATTTTATTGAAAATTCAAATATTGATTTATATTTAAATAAATGGATAAATTCTAATTTATATCAACAAATGTCAAAAATACATTATTCATTTAATTGTTTTATTCAATATCCAATTATATTAATAATAGTACTTGTTGCTTTTATGTTTATTATTAATTTATCAAGATTACCTGATTATCAATTATCATTGCAACTTATTGATAGACATTTAATAAGTGAACATCATAATTTCTTTATAACATTATTATGGAAATATTTAAATGTTATTTATGATAAAAAAGATGCAATACAAGCTATAGAATTTATTGTTTTTCAATTTCTTCGTTATCAATTATTAATCTATGAAATGGGAAGTATTATTTTAAATCAAATCAATCCAGATCAATTTCATCCATTAATGAAATCTGTTCTTTGTCTAACTTAATTTTTTTTTTTATTCATTAAAAATTTCAATAAATTCAAAATATTTTAACAAATGTCAAAATGTATATCGATTCAATTGAAGACTCAAACAAGTTTCAATTATGAATTATTTATTATTTGTTTTACAAAATTTTCCACAGTGATAATCGAGAATGTAATTATATTGATCACGATTAACCTATTCGTTTTATTTATTTATTTTTCTTTCAAAGTTAATAAATATAAAGTAAAATATTAATTTGTTCTATTGGCATATTGTAATGAAAAATATTAATTTCGAATCATTTATCATTCAGCAACATATTCTTTGATTGTAAAGCATTCTCAATTTCGGAATAGAATTTTCTGTTTTCTATAAAAGCTCATAAAAGAATTTTACTCTTCATATACTTTATCGTATTTTTGTAAGACACCAAAGCGATGCTTTTCGGACATTCAAAAATTATTATTATTTCAATTCGTATGAGCTTTCTGATAATAAGATATATTCATGTGAGACAATATTTTCTAGAAAGTCTAAGATTTTCAAAAAATAAAAAATATCATATCCAATAAAATGTAATGCATCGTAGATCTTTCACAAATTTAATTGTTTAAATTATTGTACACCAACAAAGCTTATATAATGATCATATATTTTCATAAGTTTAACCATTGTTTGAATGACCTCAATTTATTTAAGAATGAAGAATAAATCGATTATTTTCTTCAAAAAAAATGTAACAAACATTATTTTACTAATCGATGAGATTTGATAAAAATAAGTCAATAATATATCAATCGATTTCTCATTAGTATTACCATTGGATAAATTATGTCATGAGCAAATTGTACTTTTCAAATATCTATAAGATTAAATAACTGACTTTTGAATATCAATACTAATAAATATTGAGTCAAGGTGTCCGATAATTTTTTTTTTAAACTCTAATTTTTAATAAAATATTATTCAACTGTTTCTCAGATTAAAAAAATCCAATCGAGATATTCGACAGAACTAACAGAACATATTTTAAACTTTTTCTTTTTATTAGTGATTCTCAATAAAATAAAGGTGATAAATAAAAATCTAAGAGATCAGAAGAGAAAATAATTAAAATCAAAAAGAAAATGAATTATGTTAATAGTTAATCGATACAGTTCATATTTTCGAATTCTGATGATTTGTCAATATTGTTTTTCATCCATACTTGAAGAGATCAATGATCAGCTGATATTGAGAATTTTTTTTCTTTTTCACGAAGTACTGTAATCATTTTTGTCCAAGTTGTTGACGAACTCCAATTACATATAAATGTAATAGTGGATAAATTAGAGGTATCGGCTTAGCATTAGCATTAGCATTGTATTATTTAATGCAAATTTTAATACTTTTGTATTAGAATTAAAAAATTAACTTCATACTCTTGTGTTAGAATTGAAAAATTAATTTAATACTTTGACATTAGTATTAGAAAAGTATTAGTCTAATACTAATGTCTATAGCTTCCAAAAACAGAACAAAATTGCTCCGTTATGGTAATTTTTTTCCCAAAACAGAACACTTTTGTTCAGTTATGGGAAGCTGTTCCCAATAAAAGAGCAAAAGTGTTCTGTTTTCGGGAGCTATAGGCATTAATATCAGGCCAATACTTTTCTAATACTAATGTCTAAGTATAAAATTAATTTTTTAATTTTAACACAAGTGCATGAAGTTAATTTTTTAACCTAATGCAAAAGTATTAGTATTTTCCTAATACTAATGCTAAATCGACATTCCTAGTCTAAAATGAACCGAATTTTTCAGATTCGGGTTCAGTTTGGTTTGACAAGAGTCTCAAAAAATTGATTTGAGTTCGGTTCAATTGTAGGAATGAAGATTTTAATGATTTCAAGGTAACGCAATCGATATCTATACATAACGTGAATACAATAATGTATCAAAATCTTTGATCTTTGAATTTTTCATTGAATTCTCTCATTCTTGATGACATTAAATAATATCAATTACAATCTATGAAACATTTTTCGCAAAGTAATTTTAACATATCTGATCTAATGTAATATATGGTCATATCACTATCTGTATTATTACGGGACAATTCTGTATCGTAACGAGTCGTATTCTCATTGTAAGCGATATTTTTACGGGCGTAAGTGGCGTCGTTGCGTTCTTTGTTATAACGGACGTAGACATTTGTAATTTTTACGTGACTAATTTCTATTCTGACTGTTAGTACTAAATTTTAACGGCTACAAACAATTTGAATGCAGCGTTATTAATCGAAATGAAGGACAAGTATGTCACTAAAATATTTCTCACTTAAGAAATCAATAACTCAATTTGTGAGTTATAATGATTATTATTCACCTGAGAGAGTCATTTTTTTTAATACGGAAGAGTATCCGTTTTAAATCATTTTCAATTAATTCATATTTTTGTTACTATTACTTTGTTCTACTTTAAAATTATTCTATGAGAACGAATAATTTATAGTACTTTGATTTTTTAATACATAAACAACTAGAGGTTTTAGAGTTTATTGACAACTCTATTTCATAGCTGCGATATTTTGCCGAACCAGTAAAAATAGTATTTTTTATTTCAATAAATAATTCATTAATTAAAAAAATACAAACAGTATAAAAACCATATTCATATTTATTTGTTCAAGATATTCTAATATATATATATATACATGCTGAAAAAATACAATTAAAAACTCTAAAAATTGATCTAATTATTATGTATTGATTTTTAAAGTATTATATTTTTCTATTAATTTTGTCCAATACAAATTATAATCATTCATAAAACTCTTAACTCCATCTGATTCTTTTTGAATAAAATGTTCATTTGAAGCAGCACAAGCAAATGGATTATTTTTTTTTGAAATAAAAAATTCTTCATTACATTTTGTTTGATAAAGATAATCAACATTTTGAAAAATAGTTTGTCTTTGAATATTCATCATTTGAGGTAATAAACCAGTAAAATAAACATCTGATAATGGAAATGGCTTTGAATCAGTTTGATATGCATTTATTAATAATGAACAAGTTTTAAATGACATTAAATAACCAAAACCAGATAAAAATATTGGATATCTTGGACATGAATATTCATCTTGTGTAATAACATATCTTTGACCAATTTGATCAATACCATAACGAACAACTAAACCATATTCTATTGGAGAACCAAATAATGAATAAATTGTTTTATTATTAGTTAAATATTGAAAATTATTTTTTGATGATGATAATAATAATAAAAATGTATTTATAAATATATCATCATCTGTTTTAAATATAAATTTTGTTTGTTTACAATGTAATTTAATAAATTCATATAATGCTGCTTCACGTTCTGTTACATATTCATATTGTTCAGGAAGATTATTTACTTGTACTATATCTTTATGATATTTATATTCAAGTTCAATTTTTTTTTCTGATTTTGAATCAATATCAACTAAAAATAATAATTTTAATTCAATATTAGGAAAATATTTTTTAAGTAATTTTGTATTTCCCCATGTTCGACGAATTGATTGACGAATTGATGCATGAGAACATTTTGATATTACAAATATTAAAATATCTATTGATGTTTCAGTACATTTTACAAATGTTGAATTATTAAATTCAAATGGAGATTGAATTTTAGGAAGAGATGAAAATAATTTTTCATAATATTCAGGAGAACTAATAAAAAAAACAAAAGAAAGAAGAATTTAAAAACATTAAGTGAAATGTCTCTTTTCAATTTTTAGGCATTCTAACATTCTAACATCAGTAACCTTTAGTCTTGCATCGGATTCAAACTCTATCGGAGTCCGAATAGTTGAGAAATTTTTCTTTTCCAAGTCAATTTTAGTGTGACACCAATAAAATAATCAAGCTTTTACTCTTACAAATGAGCAATTTCCTTCTTCATATGTTAAGTAGCGAACAAAAAATAATATTAAAAAAGGTATTCATATAAATAAATAGCAGGAGAAAAAGAAATAAAACGATTTTGATATCGTTATACTGTTACGAAAAAATTTTTTTTGAATTCAGAATTGAAATTGAAATATAAGAGAGAAAATTATTGGAGATGGATTTCAAAATCATAAATTTTGATTCTGTAGGACTCAAAATTTCAATCATTTATATCTAATGATCACATAAATCTGAGTAATGAAAAATCGTCAAACTATTTTATTAATTACAGAAAAATATTCAATAATTAATTTTTAATTATTACAAAACAAAAAAGAATAAGAAAATTCTATATTATACATAAACATTCTATTCTGTTAGTGCAAGTGAACATTTTTCTAAAATAAACTCTTTAAAGAAAAGATAAAAATAAATTACCGAATTTGTTGATCTGTTATTGGAAAGTGATCATCCCAACTGCAAATTGTTCTAGCATCTGGCCATGGACAAAACCACCATAATGGTTTTCCTGGATCACACCATTGTTTATTTTTATTAAAAATTTGACTATGAAGAATAATAACAAAGAAAATCAATATTAATAAAAGAATTTTTATTGATGATAATAATCGACAATATTGACGCATGTATAAAAAATATTTTCGATTAATAGGCATTGAAATATTTCAATTTCACGAAGATATATTTCTTTTCAATGAAGATCTTTGATGTTTTTGATTAAACTTATAGATCATCAATTAATAATGACAATAATATAAAGAAATATTTTTCTTTTAAAATTTATTTCAAATCAAGTTTTCATTGATTATTTATGTTAAAAGTGAATATAACATTGTCCTACCGTTTTATAATAGAAAAAGAAAATTGAAAAAATTCTTTTTTATTATTCCTATGTGTTACATTGTTCCTTATATTCTTTTCTAAGATGAAAAGCCAGATAAAATGAAAAAACATCGTGCAAAAGAATGAGAAAAAGCATTATACTTTTAATATATAGAATATCTATATACAAAAAAAAAAAGAAAAGAACTAATTATTCGACATTTTCTTCATCAAACGGAAAATATGTGTTGCATGCGAACTCAATTTGACATCACGTCACAATAATATGTTATTTCTTCATAGTGAATAAGATAGATCCGTCTTTCAATGACATTAAATTACGTTGTTTAGTTATGTGAAAAATGAATAATTGTGTCAAGATAGAAAAAGTATTTGGTTTATTTCTGTTTCATTAACTACATAAGAATAATTGAACCATAGTATTGTTTTACTTATCAAAATGGTGTCACCAACATTGATTAATGAAAACCTGTCAACAATCAATTTAACATGGAAATTATTATTTAAAAAAGCCATCAAAAATACTTTTCTTTTTTTCTGCACAATTATTTCTCAAATAATATAACAGATAATGATCAGAACTGTAAAAACTTTTTTTCAGAAACTGCCATCTCTGCTGTACTCTATATGTTATATCTAGTTTTTATACAAAACAAATTTATCAATTCGTCCTTCTTAGCAAATATTTAATAGATACTATTTCATTATATATTTCCTTACCTATTTAATAACTATCCTGATTAATTGAATGTTTCATCCAGGGTTGGAAACAAAAGGAAGTCAGTGCCCTGTGGCTATTGTACCACAAACTATGTGTCTATACTTTAAAAAATAACTGTTTGCTCTTCCGAAATTTTCAATTTCCTATTTAGAAAGAGAAAATCTGAAGAAAGTAGTACTAGATTAATTATCTTGCTATGAAGTTTATTGACTGTTCTTGTGTATCTCTATATAGGCAATCAATCAATATGTACTAGTGAAAAGACGAAAAAGCAATTGACTATTAATGTTATCAAAATGCAATATTTTTATAATTTTCTTTCTACAAATGTTATATTAGCATAGGTGTCATCTGAAGATGTAGATTACATATTCTCTTTTTTTTCTTTATTTATATAGGTAGCGCTATGTATGTCTAACTTGTTTTTTTTAATGACTATATGAGAAACGATTCGTATTAATGCATGTCTCATAAATTTTCTTTATTCTAGCTTTAACAGAAATAAAATATTAAGACGTCCATCGGTAATTTAAAATTTCTCTATAGTAATTTAATCAACAAGATGTTAGTATGATGATACGTAACGTGAGCTCTCAAACGCAATATGATATTATCGTCTACAGTCGCTTTTAAAGTCACATGCAGTTTAGTTCGCATAAATTTACTAATATTAAATATATTCAATACATTATACGAAACATAATCTGACAACAGAGTTTTAATAGAATCAATGAAATTCTTACATTGAGTATTAATTTTGACTAAAATTTAACTTTATTATTCATAGCTACAATGACATATGTTATAATTTTATTCATTTAAATGAAATATTTTAAAAATAATAGAAAAATTCGTTATTTATTTTTGTCTTGTATAAAATAAATTTTTCTCGCTAATCAAACAAGACTTTATAATGATCAGAGACGTATGAAAAAATTTCTCATGAATATTAATTCAAAAAGAAAAAAACATTATCTCTAGTTAATACCAAAATATGTAATTATTATACTAAGTGAAACAATGTACTGATAAGTTTAACAAATATCAAATATAAACGAACTCAATGACCATATTTAATAATTCATTCGTAGTTATATAATCTTTTAAAAAAAGATAAGAATTTGCGCTGGCGTATATACCTATCTTTGACTCAGTGACACATGCACTCATGTTTGACTCACTGACAAAAAAAAAAATCAAGGTTTATAATGTTGTATATAAATATGATAGTATCATCGCACTGGTACCACAATGAGAATGTTTAGATTTTTTGCTCTTTTATATCTTTCCTCTCTGATAGGCACTATTGATATTATAAATTTTATTCCATTTGGTATTGAATATAATGATAAAATCTTTGAACAAGAACTTAACAATATAACTGATCCAATATTAATCTCTATTCGATATTCTTTCTTTAATCAATATTATGATCAAATTCGTATTTCCTGTCATGGTTTAATTATATTAAGAAATAATAGTTGTTTATCGTCGCTTAAAGCACCCAATCAATTTTCTCTTCAAGATTTGGTATATGTCACAACGTATTGGATTGATACAAATATCACAGACGATTCAATTAGTAAGATTTTTTATCGTGAAATATTACTTAAGAACAAACCTAATACTCTTTCGCAAATAAGTGAAACTCTACGTAATGGATTTTTTAAATTAGCTGCTCAACGAATGTTCTGGGCGTTTGTTATCACATGGTATCAAGTACGTAATAGTAAAAATTGTACAGATCAAAATACTTATCAAGCAATGTTAACTACGAATGGATTTTATTCATTTATTTTATTTACCTATCATCAATTACAATGGTTAGAGAATTCATCATGTATTCATTTACAAATTAGATTTAATACTGATGATAACATTAAATATTATAAATTAAAAAAATCTTTTTCACCTGCAGTAATAAGTTTTGTTAATGATTCAAATATTGGTATACCGGATCAATTTGTTTTTCATATATCAGGAAATTTTAGTGATATACAATGTATAACATCTACTAGTTTACAAATTTCTCCATTTCGAGACTCAATTTATAGTAGATATGAATTTCAATTGCATGATATTAAAATAAAAATCGAACTATATGATCGAGAAGATAAAATTTTGATTGATTCTACTGAATTTCTTGCTCATGTATCAGAAGATCATGGTGAATTAATATTAAGTAATTATGGTAATCTCACTCATCAAATAGTTGATCCTAATAATAATGAATTAATTCTTCAACTTCAATCGAATGTTATTACATGTAAATATCTTTTTGAGATTGTTATATATGATTATATCGGACAATTATCATCTGATAATAAAATTCTTTATAATCATACTCAACATCGTATTGATCTAGGATTAGATTATTTTAATTTATCTTCTATTGGTAATAATATGATTTGTCCTGTAAAAACAGATCCGAATGATCATGTTCATGCATTACAAATTTCATTTAAAATGAAAAAAATTCGTCAATGGTTTCATTCGGCTCTTTTAATAGGTACTAAAATCTTTACAGCTGCAACATCATTATATGCTGCTTATTGTCCAGCTTGGTTATTGATGCAAGGTGATCCAAATCAATATATTAAACAAATTCCAGTTTGTCCTTGTCAAGTGCCATCACAACCATGGCTTGAAGAATTTATGGGTTTTCGAATTGATGAAGGATGTGATGGTCGAAAACCTATTAAAGAAACATGTCATTATCATAGAAAAGCTAGAAGTTGTTATCGAAAAAAATCGGATAGAAGTTGGTCTGGTGCTCAATGTTGTTATGATGAGCAAGGTAAATTTATCGAACATGGAAAAGAAGGTGCTGGAACACTTGATGTTATTTCACCAGATGGAAACGGTTGGTTTGAAAAACGTTTAGGTATGTTTGGTCATTTATTTTCTGATTTTCTATCGTATTGGTCATGTTGTCGAAATTCTTTAACGAGCGAAGCAATGTGCAAAGCTTATTATCATTATCGTCCTGCAGGACGATGTGAAAACATGACATCAGAATTAATTGAAATGCATAGAAATCCTTAGTTTGTTATACTCAATAATATGTCATATAAATTTCGAGAACAAGGTGAATATATATTATTATCTCTTCCAAAACCTAATGGATTGGAAGTTCAAGTACGTCTTACATCTAATGGTGACAATAATAGGACAGATTCAATGATTGGTATTATTGCTTTTGTAGAAGCTAAAAAACATATTCAATTTGAACTTTTTCCAATGTATCAATTTCTCGATATTCGTATTGATACACAACTCATTAAATTACCGGATGAAGAATTTTTTGTACCGATGCTTATTTATGAAGATGAACATATGAAAATTAAATGTAAAGTTAATGGTACATTTAAAATTTGGTTTCATGGAAGTCATCTTCGATTTCGTGCACATATTCGTCTAACATTCGACTTTTTCGAACTTGAGATACTATTAGAACAAGAAAAGTTTAAGAAATTATCTATACCATCGTTTGGTTTACTTGATGATATTAATGGTCTTATGTTTCCTAATGGAACAAAAATATTAATCAATAAATCTGATGAAAATATTTTATTCGAATATGATCAATCATGGCGTATATCACAGAATACATCACTTTTTTATTATTCATTTGACGATATCGATCATCGTCGACCATTGTCTTCCGACATTGGATCCAATTCTCTGAAACGAATCTTTGAAGAAACTAATAATAATGTTACATTAACCCAATAAAATTCTCATGATAAAATATCACAACAAGATCAACAATACTGTATTCAATGTTACTCAAATAGTGATCAAGCAAGTTCAACTGAGAGTAAAATACATCAGTTTCATAATTGGATTTCATTGACAGTTTCTATTGAACACGATGTATTACTACAGAAAAAAAACAATGTAGCATCTAATCATAAATATTCATACGTATTTTTATTAGTTTTATTCTTATACTTCTTTTTGATAAATATGTAAATATAATATTGTTGTTATTATTTTCATAACAAGAAATGAATTTTATTGATCTATACGGAGATCGTAGGGAACATCGTTGTAGCAATACTCATCAACAAAATCGACACATTACTAGTGATATTTGGCTCTAACATATTCAGAATTTCCAGAAATCTGAAAAATTTATTTCTGATTTCAAAATTGAGATACAGTGCATCTGAAAGAACGTCTTCGAAAACATATTCTAAGTGATTTTCAGACTAATCACATATATTGTAAGGAATCAGCGGAAGAATGAAGTTTTTAGTCCAAAAGCTTCCGCCCAAGCAGACACGATTTTGCAAAAAACGCTCCAAAGTAGTCTTTTCTAAGCGTTTAAACGCATGTAGAAAAAATTGGTCGCATAAACACCAGGATATCTAAGTTTTGAGCATGAACACGTACAAAGTATTCTTATGGAATATAACTGAGAGGCCAGAATTTTGGCTCGGTTCCAAATCCCGGTGGTATTTCGGCTCGGACCGAAATATCACCAAAAATTCGATCCGAAACGAAACTCATCTTACTGCTATTCATCATTCGCTATTTTTACACGGTCGAGATAAGACGTATTCTATTTTGTCAGTTACGTACATTTTCTTTGTTCAACTTATCGATTATTTTTTTTTCGTATTAATTTATTTTACACCCAATTTTGAAATTATTTTTGAAATTATTAATTAAGGTAATTATATCCAGGTATTTTTACGTCAGGTGTATCTTAGTTATGCCTCCAAAAAAGGGAGGAACAGGTGGAAATAAATAAGGACAAAATTACATTAATTCTATTAATGCAATACAAGGTCAAACAGCAGTAGGTGATGTTCGAGGAACAATGGCGATGAGTCATAGTCCGAGAACAAAGACTTCTACAGTAGCAAAGGCTGGCCTGAACAAGCAATCAAATTTTAGCATCACTCCTCTAATTCTAGAGGGCGTAAAGCTAAATAAATTATAATTAAATGACGTCATCAAGCACCATTTAAAGGACTTACGAAATTTCAGATATTCAGCTAAGTCGATCAGGAATTTTCACACTATATGCAAGCGATGTCAGTTCGTTTAATCGTTTGTTAAATGAGCTAGCATCAATTCTTGCAACAAATGGTCAGGCTACAGCGAAAGTATATGTGCCCCGATCCATTCAACGTATAAAAGATACGGAAAAGGTCGCGTTTGTTAAAAGCGTCGACTTAGAAATTCCTGAAAGTCGAATAACTGAAGCATTGAAGGATGTTGGCCTTGATGTTGTTGATGTTATTCGACTAACAAATAAGGTAAAAAACATACTGACGAAAACGATCAAAATTACATTTAATGATCCGCAAAATCGAAATACATTTATTCGTACTGGTTTACAGGTCGACTCAATGCATTTCGAAGCCAAAGCTGCAATGCAAAATACAAAGCCGGTGCAATGCTATATATGCCTTAAATACAATCACGTAGCAAAGTACTGCAAAACGAAACAGCAGATATGTGCTCGATGTGGTGATAATCATCGTATCGATCAATGTACTGCTGCTAGTGATGCAATGAAATGCTGCAATTGTAAAGGTAGTCATTTAGCAACATCAAATGAATGTGCAACTTATAAAGAACAAGAGCAAAGAATGCACAATTTAGTAAATCAATATTCATCCACAAATAAACCGACAACAACAGCACCAGCCATACATGATATTAATGAATTTCCATTGCTACCAAACATTTCTCAACGTCAACAAGAATATCTACATAATGAATTATTCGATGAAATCATTAATGTATTAAGCAGCAAAATGGAAAAAATCATCGAAGAAACAACCAGTCGGTTATTGCAGATGCTGCAACAGAAGATCAAGAAAATCAAAAAATCGATCGGGATATACAACAACAACCATGAAGATGCCTTAACTGTCTCTGATTCTGATTCAAATGAAGAAGGTCAAGTAGTTAAGCACATTAAGAACAAACAAAAACAAAATACAGAAACAGCCAAATCAACCACTTCATCTACTGATACTTCAACTAAACCAACAACAACCACGAACGTAGCCACATCGAAACAACAACGAAAACAAAAAGAAGCAACAAAGTCAACCAAGAGAGTTCGCTCTCCTAACAGCTCTTTAGATGCATCGACATTTGATAACAAAGACCCCAAAATAAGCAACAACGATGATTAGTTTATGTCATATTAACATAAACTCTATTATAAAACACAAAGATGAACTCCTAGCCAGGTTCTCCAAATACGACATCATCTCTGTTAATGAAACTAATCTTAAGAGTGAACGCAAGTTCTCTCTGATGGGTTATAACATTTTCAGAAATGATCGAGTAGGAAAACTTGGTGGTGGAGTTTTATTAGCAGTGAAACAACACATTAAATGTCGAGAAGTACTTAACAAAACATCACAGATGAATGAAATAATTGCAATTGAAGTTGAAACACAATTATTCAAGTCGATATTGATAGCCTCCATCTATGTTCCACCAACAGCAAAGATGGATCTTAATATCTTTCAAGAATTGTATAACATCAACAACAACTGTATTATTGTAGGTGATCTCAATGCAACATTACATCACATGGGATCAGCCAAGGGAAATGCAAGAGGAAGACAGCTGCAAGAATTATTTAAAGAAGGTTTTATTGAAGGTGTAGATGATGATACTCCAACATTTGAAAAGAATGACTATGAAGTTAAGCTCGACTGGCTTTTAGGTAGTCAGCCACTTCTATCTTTCACATCAAATATTGAAACACACCCACCAATTGGTACATCATGCGGACACAAACCATTAACCTTCGACATTTCCATTGGAGCTGAACCAAAACCTGCATCTCCAAGAATGTCATTTAATTTTAAAGCAGCAAAATGGTCAAAATTTCGAAGCAAATTAGATCAACAACTGATGCTATGGAATAATGATCGTCGTTTAGATTCAGCATTAGATATAGAAGAATATACGTCGTTTATTACTAATTCCATATTAGTAGCAACACAAGAAGCTGTTCCACTGTCCAAACAAACGAATACAAGACCTATGATAAGTGAAGTTACGAAGAGGTTAATTACACAAAAACATCAAGCTTTTCGTCGATGGAAGAAGACTGGAGATTATCAACATAAACATCAATACTATAACTCCAAAGTCTTATTAACAAATTCACTTAGAAATGACAGAAGAGACAACTTTAACCAGTTAATGTCATCATTATGTCAAAAGAAAATTTATTCGGATAAAGTTTGGCTGACGGTTCGTAAGATTCATAACAAACGAATCAAACAAACTTTTACAAGCAGCATGAAATACAACAACACAACAGCAACATCAGATAAGGAGAAAGCAGACCTATTTGCCGATTACTTCGAAAATGAAGTCTACTCTCTTACTGCCGATTCGCTACCATTTCATGATCAAGTAACACGCCAAACAAACAACATCAAGAATTGCTTTATAACCCCACCAAACACATACAAGTGGAAGCTAATCACAGTAGAAGAAGTTAAATATCACATTAAACAACTTCGAAATAGCTCCACTGATCCAGACAACATTCACAACAGATGTTTGAAGAACGCTTCAGAATTACTGACCAAACATTTAACCAACTTGTTCAACTTAATTCTGAAGTACGGTTATATTCCAACAAAGTGGAAAACAGCTTATATCATTCTTCTATTGAAACCGAAGAAAGACAAACAACACCCGTCTAGTTATCGGCCGATAAGTCTCCTTTGTGGCTTAGGCAAACTACTGGAGAAAATAATCAAACAACGTCTAATGCTTGAACTTGAACGACGAAACATCTTACCACAACATCAAGCCGGCTTCAGACCAAGAAAAAACACAGTATAAAACATCGTGCGATTAGAACGATATGCTGAAGGACAACTAAGACGACCTAGCCGAAGACGTCACTCAGCTGTCATTCTTTTCGACATCAAAGCTGCTTTTGATTCAGTATGACACGATGGTTTGATATACAAATTAAATGATTATCGTCTTCCTCGTTACATCATTAATTATCTTATCTCTTTCTTACAAAATAGAACTGCTGCAATTGAAATCGAAAATGTTTTATCTCGTCCATTCAATTTAAAGAGCGGTACTCCACAAGGATCTCCATTATCATATATTATATATACGGCAGATTCGATGAATGGAATACCGACTTATACAGAACATGGGTTATTCGCCGATGATACAGCACTATGGACTTCATCCAACACCATGGCAAGTCTCTCATTCAGACTACAACAATCCATAGATGCATTTGAAAGTTGGTGCCAGTCATGGAAATTAAAATTACAACCAACGAAAACAGAGCTGATTCACTTCAGCTTACATCCAAGAAAGAAGTACAAACATCCAGTGGAAGTAACAGTTGGCAACACCATTATTCAATCACTGGAACATACAAGATACTTGGGTGTAATTATTGACAAAGGATTAAAGTGGCGAAGTCATCTCGATCATATCGAAACAAGAATTGCTCCTCGGATCAGTCTTCTTCGGTATTTATCGAGAACAGCATATGAACCTAACAACAAGACGATGATAAACATTTTCAAATCAATTGTACGCACAAACATCATTTATGGTCATCCTATTCTACTGACTGCTAATGATAAAGTATGGAAACGATTGCAGATCATGCAAAATAAAGCACTTCGAGCTGCACTCGGTCTACCCATATATACATCAGTAGAATATATTCACAAAATTAGTAATGTCCCGAAGATCAAGGATTATGCAACAACATTGCTGCAAAAATCCATTCAAACAGCAACTTCGAACAACGACATTACACTGAAAAATCATCTACAAGACATATTCGACAAAATTTAAAAAATTCACCACCCACAATTCATTTCAATATTATCATCGAGAAACAAGAACATTGTTAAGTTAGCCGAATCTGTACAAAAATTGTTATATCGGATTCGCATACGACAAGATTGTTTCATATATACCAAGAAACGCAACAATGTTTTTGCTTATTCATTTTTTACTATTAATGTATTTCTTTTCTTCCTTGGCTTCATTCTCATATATAATATGAAAGTGAGTCAAAGTATCGGCTTAATCATTTTTAACTATTCATGTAATTCTTTTCTTCTTTGGTTTCATTCTCATATATAATATGAAAGTGAGCCAAAGCATTCG